ATGGAAGTTATGTATATTTAAAATCCAGACTCAAAATCTCGGCTCAAAAACAAGCAATTTATATTATAACAAACTGCATAAGATTGTATCCTTCCTAAAACATCAGTACTTGTCTTGCTGGTGTCTATTCTGTTGGAAATACAATGCTTTGTTTTGTGTCCTGACTTCTTTCCTATATCCATAACAACCCTATTTTACAGTAGAACAGGAATGAATATGATTCCCGTTCTATTTCCTTTTTCAATTTCCTTTGAAAAATAAACTTACAGTAGATGCTGAAGACCACTTCATTCCCTTCCTATGCTGTATAGATACTGTGAAGAGGAAAGTGTTCTGTAACCGATATTCCTGAGTTATCTCATATTTTTATTTTTATTTGCCTCATTTTCTGTGTTAAATGTCTCATAGAATTTCATAATGTGAAGAAACTACCCTATTATTAAAAGCCAGTATGTTCTTTGCCCTCCTTCCAACATTTATGCAGCCAATTTATCCATTTAGCCTTATAATATGGATGAGTTCATACTTTATGATAGGTACTGTGCAAATCATACTGGATGCACAGGTGAATCAGCATTATAACTTATTTAAAGAACCTCACAGTCTGAGAGACTTGTTAAAAAGAAAAGAAGGAAACACAATAGACAATGCAATAAATATTGTGATTCCCAGAACATTTGAGAAATTGTGAGATCTTTTGGCTCCATTGGGAGGAGGGAATGACAGAAGTTGCAGGAAGAAGAAATGCCACAAATAAAGGCGAGGGATAGCGTGACTCAGTAACGGAACTGAAAGGCTTTTCTAGAACATAGAGTATGTATGATCAAGTGGCTGCAGAGAAGGTCAGAGAGTAAACAGACATCTACATCAAATATGTTTGACTGTTGTCTGTTGTAAGTATTCACTGAAGAAATTTAATTTTAAGTAACACTAATGTTAAAGTGACAAATATGTTGGAAGGACGAAAGATTTGGAGGAGACAGAAAAATTAGGGGGCTGTTGTAACCCAAATAAAAGAGGATTGAGGCTTAAATTAAAGCAGTGTTAGTGGAATGAATAAACATTCAAATATATTAAGGAGGTAAAATTGACAAAACTTGATGATTAATTTAGTATAGAACTATTTAAAAGTCACATTTCAATGGACTGAAAGTCAATAGGAACTTTTATCAAAGCAGCATTTACTCAGTGATCAGAGGTTACCTTCTGGTGCCTTCCGACACTACATTCATTCAGACCTTACATGGAGTATGATCTTTGAGGCAACATGGGTCTTATAAATGGTTTAGGAGTTCCCTTAAGGCAGCTGTGCTGTTGGGATTTTAAACCTTGGGCCAAAAATTAAGTAAAGAATCTAGCCGAGGACTTTCAAGTTAAGCCAACATCCTTAAGAGAGGATGAAGTGGTTCTTATGGGGTCTCCCTAATATCAGCAGAAATAAAAGCAAACATACCTACATTACGTCCTTTGGACTCCCGCAGATTAAAACCACAAATGATGTAACAATCAAAGATGACTATGAGATTGAAAGTCATTTTCAATAAAAAAAACCCCAAAAATTAGATCTCCATCGACTGTGACAATTAGGATAGTGAAATAGAGGAAATACACACAAAGTTGAATGAATAAGATCATCAAAATGAACAGGAAGATTTTGAAAACTGAAACTTGTAGAATTTTAAAGTATAATTTGGAAAAATAGTCCATCTATTGATGATTCATCAGATTAAACAAAGTTGGAGAGATTTAGTGACTTGGAACATATATTTTTAAAAATTTATCTAGAATGCAGAGGGAGAAAGAGATGAAAAATGAAAGCAGTTTTAAGAGCTATGGAAGTGGAATGAGAATGTTTAATTTACAAATCAATAGAATTAAAAAAGCAAAGGATACAGAGTATATGAAATATTTTAACAGATGATTGTTATGAATATTTAAGAACTGATTGAGGGCTGGCCGAGTGGCACATTGGTTAAGAGCTAGCTTGGGATGCCAGAGGACCCCGGTTCGGATCCCACAGATGAGGGCCAGTGACACTGTCCTCTACAGCTAAGATGCTGAACAACAGCTCAACCTGGAGCTGGGCTGCCCTGAGTTGCCAGCGATGGCATAGGCTGCAGCCCCTGCTGCAGTGGGTTGCCTGGGCTACCGTGTGTAGCCAGCAGCCAGCATAAGCGGCCAGCAGCCGCTGTGAGCAGCCGTCCAGAGGCCGGCGACTGATCTGCCTCGCCCGGGAAGAGCGCAATGATGGTGCCAACTTGGGCCAGTGAAGCAACATCCTCCACAACTAGACTGAAGAACAAAAGGACAGTAAGTTGTCTGTTCCCCTTCCCCCAATTCCCCAGCGCTGTTTCCATCCCCTAATTCCCCAATAAAAAAAATCTTAAAAAAAAAAGAACTGATTGAAACCAAAACATGAACATAGAAGTACAGGAATCAAAATGTACCTCAGTAGGATAAATAAAAAGAAACCCATGAAAAGGATAACTATTGGATTGTTTTGTACACTTGAAACTAATAATAATAATAAAAAAACCCCATGCTAGATGCATGGTACTGGCATTGTAGAACACCAAAGATAAAGAGATAGAAGTACTCATAAAGAAATAACGAGTATCCACAAAAAGAGGTATAGGTAAAGGAACTGAAATTATTTCATAATTTTGCACTTTCATAAAAACCCAGAAGGTCTTAAAATTAACTTTCAAATATCCTGTGATTTTTTTTAAACAGAGTAATTGCTTATTGTGAAAGAAAATATTTTAAAAGATGTGAAAAAGCCTAGTCATTGTTTTTAATTAGCCAAATGAAATGAATTAGTTAGAATGTCCACAGAAGGATAGCAGAAATAAACACAATTAAAAGGTTTTACTTTAAAAAATATTGTTGATTAATAACATTATGATAATTATTTTAAAACTTAATGATCTGGGACAAGGAACTTAATTTTTCTGAGCTGTGGTTTCTTATTCTTAAAAATGAAAATAACGATCTATATCTCTGAGGACTCTTGTGAGGATGAAGTATAATGTATAAACTATGTTACTACCTAGCTCTCCATAAACAGTTTGGTGATAGTTTTTATGGTCAGTATTATCATCATCATCATCATCATCATCATCATCATCATCATCATCATTATCATCATTGTGTGGCTTAAACCAACTGCCATTTTTTTTTTTTTTACTCTCTCATGAGTCTCATTGACTGGGCTTAGCAAAACAATTCATTTGCTCCCTGTAGAGTTGTCTGGGGCTGCCTAACCTGGGAGGCTGGTTATGGGCTGGTAGCTCATCCAGGTCTGGTAGCCTGAGCACCTCTGTTCTTGAGTTTCTCCACATGCTGTGAGCATCTCTTAGCATTGCAACAGATTCTATAAGAGACAGTTCCAAGAAAGAAGGCAAAAGCTGCAAGGTACCTCATACCCTAGCCTCAAAAGTCACATAGCATCACTTCTGTTGTATTCTGTTGGTCATAAGGAGGTCCCTGGGCAGCCCTAAGGGGAATGGAAAAAGATTCCTCTTTTTGATGGAGCAGTGACAAAATCACACTCCAAAAGAGCATGTGGGATGGGAGTTATTGTTGCAACCATCTTTGGAAATAACCTCTGTCCATGCTGTGTAGACATGAAAGGATCTCCAAGATACACTGCTAAGGGAGAAAAGCTAGATAGAGAAAACCGTATAATATACTAATATCAGTGTAACAAAGTGGTGAAAAACAATATAATTGTATTTTCTTATGTATATTTTAAAAATCACTGAAAACATGTAAGAAACCCATAACAGTGGGTGCCTACTGAGGTTGGAAATCAAGCGGAAAGGGGATCTTGTGAGAGGCTGCTCACTGTGTATCTTACAATACAAAAAAAGACAATTTGAATATATAAATAAATAACTTTTCTTGTTAAAAAACATTTGCTCCATGTTTGCATTTTTATTGAATTTATTGGGGTGACACTGATTAATAAAATTGTATAGGTTTCAAATCTGTAATCATCTATATATTGTATTGTGTGTTCACCACTGAAAGTAAAATCTCCTTCCATCACCATAGGTTTGACCCCCTTTGTCCTCTTCTTCCCTATTCCCCCATTACCCTCTGGTAACCACTAAACTGTTGTCTGTGTCTATGAGTTTTTGTTTGTCTCTTTGTCTTGTTCATTTGTTGCTTTCAGTTTTATATCCCACATCTGAGTGAAGTCATATGGTTCTTGACTTTTTCTGTGTGACTTATTTTGCTTAGGATGATAATCTCAGGATCCATCCATGTGGTCACAGATGGTAGTATTTCATCTTTTCTTCTGGCTGAGTAGTATTCCATTGTATGTATGTACCACATCTTGCGTTAGTGATATAGCAGTGAGCATAGCTGCCTCCCATGTTTGCATTTCTTAAACTTTGTTTCACTGTAGTTCCATCTTAGAATTTAGAATTTTAACATTTTAATTAATTTTTTATGCCATTTAGTCATATCATGTGTATTAATTAAATAATCCAATCTATAGATTCCTTAATATATGGTCATCTAGCACTCGTGTGAAAATTTACTTCCAAGATAGTGAATTCTGTTGTTTTAACCATTTTAAAACATTCCATCAAAAATCCTTTATTTTTATTTCATTAACTGACTTTATTGAATTAAGTGAATGATTTGTTCACAAGACACTGTATTTATTTTTTGTTTGTTTGTTTGTTTGTTAGCTGAGCCATCCTGCCACCTGTTGGCAGCTAAGCAGCAGCTCAGCTCGGGCCGGGACTTGAACCGCTGTTGCTCAGTGTGCGAGCTCTTAGCCAACTGAGCCACTTGGCCAGCCCCAAGACACTATATTTAATAGAGGCATTGCTATAACAGTTTTATGGCATATTTCTGTATTTTATAATGTCGCTTTCTCTGAAATTTATACATATTTAATATTTGCAGTACAGAAGTTTGATTATTGAAAAAGTTGGATTAACCAGAGCTATTAATAATAATTACAAAAGTATTTTTCTTTTCAGATTACTATGCCATGCAATGAAGGACCACATAGTTCGTGTTGCAAATGAAGCAGAGTTCATTTTGAACAGACAGAGAGCCGAGGATGTACATAAGCATGCAGAGTTTGAGGTAAGGTTTGGGGAAAACATTAGAGTCTGTCTGTCTGTTATCAGCCAGCTGTCACCAATGGTAACCTTACAGTAAAAGGGGTTTTTTTTAGAGGAAAATTTTACTGAAGGCATTTCAGTTCTTTAGTAAATGTCAAACCCAGAACACAAGTTTATTTTCACCTTATTTACAACATGAAGAGATCCCTCCTGCGCTGTGACTAACCATTTGGTAACAAGAAATAAAATTTTATAAGGCAATCACTTTAGTAATTTTTAAGCTAGCAGAACTTACATACAATTAGATATGGGTATATAAGCAGTTATATAAGGAAACTCAGTTTTGCCAGACATTCAGTAATTCATTATTTATTAAAGTATCCATCTTTAGAATAGCCATAGATAATTTTAGTTTATATTTCATTTTTATAATTGATATTTTATTGACAATTGAAGCACATATATGGAAATATAATAGTTTTAAAATTATTGTAAGTTCCTTGAATAAAGAACAAATTAACTATAGCTTCTATTTTATATGCAAATATTAAAGAATATTGAAGCACTATATATTTCATAGTAATCATTTTTTAATTTAAAATATTTTTTGTTTTTCTAGCATGTCAATAATTGTTCACCATTACTTGTATTGCCTCAATTCAACAGATATCCTGATTTCAGTGTTTTAAATATATCAACTACTTCAGTTCATTCAATTTACAAAACAAAATTGGTTTCAGAAATATTTAGGTGATCTGGTGTTTGGCTTAGGTTAGACTGTCAGTGGCCTTGAAAATTATAAATAACTCACTAATTTATTCCCCTGATGCAACACGTGAACAAGTATTGTGTGGTGGGAATGCAGAGTCCGAGATTTCCGTTTTGATAGGGTTTTTATCTCAGTAAACCAGCTCTCTTAGTCGTGCAAGTCGATGTCCTAAGCCTAGTGATCTCTGACCTGGCTAGCTGAGAAGCATGAGACAGGGAAATGACTCTAGGCACTTACCAGTAATTTCTGCTTCATTTGTCAGATGACACAGCACACAGTTGTTATATGGGATTGCAACAACCTTATTTTGAAGAGTACCAAATGTTTTAAACTTTGATGAAAGTACATTGACAATTAAGTGTTGGTCAAAGTGAAGTTTCATATCACCTCAACAATGAATAACGTTTGGCTATTTATCAGGGTATCATGCCATAATCTGGATGACAAGAAAAGACTGAGTTACCTGTTCTTTGAAGAATATGTTTAGGTATAAGATATGTCAGAACAACAATAAGAATATTCATTTAATTTTTTACTTCTGTTAGTAAATAAGATTTGGAATATTAACTGAATTCCCGGCAGGATCACTTTTGACTCAATTATATTTCTACTAAGAAAATCAAGATATTTTTTGAGGATATAAGCAAATCAATATGTGTCATGTGAAAACACTTAAAATGGATTTTAAGCAGCTAGATATTAATTACCACCTTCAACACATGTTTAACCCAGCAAAGTATAAATTTTAAACCTTTTTTTCATTATTGTGCCCCTAAGGAATCTTTTTACAGTTTTTGTCCTAATTGTTCCCCAGTAAAATTTTATTACTACCAATATGCTACATATCTGTTTGTGTACTATATAAACCTCTGAGCTTTATACGTAAAAAGGGTAAGACTTTTTTCACATACCCCCAACACCAATTTTCACCCCCGTGGGGATGAGATTACTCCTATTGAAGATGCATGGCCAAAGGTGATAAGAAGCTATGAAGGGGGGATATGAAGACTCAGTGATTTTTAAACTATATATACATAAAATCCTAATGGCAATCTAAGTTTGAGAGCGTTATCATTGTTACTTAATGAATATATATATTGTTTTTAACCCAAATGTTTGAATTTGTTCATTTTAGGTTAGAGCTATATTACAATAGTAAATGCATTTATTGTGTGTGTGTGCATGTGTGTGTGTGTGTGTGTGTTTCACACAAAACCATTTTTAAATTGTAAAAGATTTTATAAAAATCATGACATTCTACTAGAACTTTCTGAGGAATTTATCTCCCATATAAACCTGTAATCAAGAGAAAAAGTATATTTAATTTGAGATAACTACTTCACAGTTTTTTCAGTTAACCAATGTAATTGTTAAGGAAGAAAAATGAAAATTTAATTTTACTCTCCAATGAGCTAATGAAATATTAACCTCATTATGGAGGCAGATCATTGTACTAATTGGTGATTCCCTATACAAAAAGATAAATTGGAAAATGAATTAATCCTTCTTAGATTACTGTAGGGTTATTTCCTGAAAGAGATGAGTTGTGGTAGTAGTCTATATCAATAGATAGATGGGAGGGACATGTTTAAATACCTTCCATGAAACAGATTTTTACATAGTAATGATGAATGTGAACTAGTTATATGTATTTTTTCAGATGTATGAGATTTTTTTTCTTCCTAGTTATATGACTCATATTACATACTTGTTAATGTTAAAATTTATAGTCAACCCACTCTATATAAAAATCATTATATAAAAAAAGAAACATGATTAAAAATGGTCATGTTTATGTTCATATTGAACCTTTTGATGCACAATGAGATTGATTGAACTATGTTACTAATAGCAGTGAGCATGAATGCAGATAGCTGACAGGACAACTGATTATTGGAAAATATAAGAATAAGATGGTGCTTATTACGAGAACCTTTGAACACGTTAAATTGTACAGCTGAGAGAGATTGTAGAGAACATCTTCTCTTAGCTCCTCATTCTACAAATATAAAACTGAGTACAATGGGAAAAAAATCATTTTAATAAAGTGTGAAACAAAATCCAGGTTCAAAGTCCTAAACCATTGCTTTTTTTTACACAATATTGACATTTATGAAATGGAAAACTTTAAATTAAAAAGCAAGTTTATTTTACCTATATATAATTTTCAGGAACATAACTCTTATTTTAAGTAAGATATGTACTATATTGATTAAAATAATCAGTCGACTTACATTTTTAACACATTGATTTTGTTTCAAAAATGATTATTTTTGGAATATATTAAAATCAAAATTTCAGAATTGGAAGAAACTGTAAAAGTTATTAATGACTTTATATAACATTAGCCAAATTATTTTATATGTACTTTATGTATAAATACATAGAAACACATGTACAAGTGTGAAAGGTTACTATATGTATTCTTGAGAATAAACTTTCAAAGATTACATTATCTGAGTTTTGAAAGTGAATTGTTATCTTTTAACTTAAGGTTAGATATCATTCCTTACTTATGCACAGTGGAAGTTACACATTAATCATCATGCATGATTTGTATTTCCTTATAGTCACAGTGTGCCCAATATGCTGCTGACAGAAGAGAGGAGGAAAAGATGTGTGACCATCTAATTAGTGCTGCCAAACATCGAGACCACGTTACAGCAAATCAGCTGAAACAGAAGATCCTTAATATTCTCACAAATAAGCATGGTGCCTGGGGAGCAGTTTCTCATAGGTGAGTGATAACAGATTACAAGTAAATGATAATTCATAGGCTAATTCTAAGAGTTAGAAGTGGAAAAGGACTAAATTTTTAAATTATTTAGAAAATATGATTTAAAGTATAAAAAATTACTAGAATTCTTTTTTTTTTTTGGTATCTTCAGTAATGCCTCTTTAGAATGATTTTGGAGAAAATATCAACTTTTAAAAGTGGCTCCAATAGAAGTTATTTCTAATTTATAATTACCGTATTTGCCGGCGTATAAGACGATTTTTTGGCCCTGAAAAATATGCCTCCAAGTGGGGGGTCGTCTTATACGCCAGGTACACTTCAGATAGACTGCCCATAGTGCTTGCCCCTTGCCATAGTGGCCTCCCGATGCCCGCCCACTTCATTCCACATACCGTTCAGGCATCAGCAGCGCTGCTGGGTGTATGCTCGGCTGTTATGCGATTTTGCTGTTATGCGATTTTACCACACTCGCAAAATCGCACACAGCCGACCATATAACAAACTCTGTATTTTGAGTGGAAATGTTAGGGGGTCGTCTTATACGCCGAGTTGTCTTATACGCCGGCAAATACGGTATATGTAATGATACAAAATTTGTTTAGGCAACTAATTTAATCTAAGAGTCAAATCTCCCTTCTTATTAAATTTATATCATTCTTAGTTTTCTTACATACAAGTAATAATAATATGAGCATTTACTGTGGAGAGGTAATACATTCTTTTTAAAATTTTCCCTCCATAGTACAATTAAACCAACATTGGTTGTTTATAAATTACAAATGTTCTCTTCTCTAAAGTTTTGTGGGCATAAATTTTTTTCCTCTGCACAATGAAGTTTTCTAGAAAAATAGTAGTAAAGGATGTCACTATGTTTAGATTGTTAATGTTATTCATTTTTATATCTTCATTTTATTTGATCCCATTAGATGTTTTTGTTAATTGCCTATATGGCAGAGGTTAGGGGTTGGTTAATTGGGGACAGAACACTACCATGAAGAATTCTGGTAGAAGCTATCCTGTTGGGGAAGAACATTTGAATATGATCAGGATAGTATTCGACCAACTGTCCTGAGATTTCAAGTGTAAGACAGATTTAAGAAAACTGCGTTATTCTTGAATTTAAAGTAATATCATAACATGATGTCTTTAAAAATAGTCAATACTTGATATTTGTTTCTTATAATAATACTACTATGGCATCTAACATTTTCCAAATATTTATTGTTTGTTAAGCCAATACTAAGACATTCACAAGGATTGTTTTATTTAACCTTCTGAACATCTGTATTAAGTTTAATACTAAAATTTTCTACATATTACAATGGACAAACTAAAAAATTCAGAGGTTACATAATATGTACATAGTATCACACAGCTTGTACAAGTAGAGGCAGAGTCTGTCAGTCAGGTTTCTTCAGAGAAACACAGAAACAGAACCAATAAAATGTATGTGAGACACAGATAAAGACAGATTTATTTGAAAAAATCGACTCATGTGATTGTGGGGGCTGGCAAGCCTGACATCTGTAGGGCAAGCTGGCAGGCTGGAAACTTGGGCAGGGTTTCTGTTGCAGGCTTGAGACAGAATTCCTTCTTCAGGAAACCCCAGTCTTTTCTTCACCTGATTGGATGAAGCCCACCCACATTATTGAGAATAATACCTTTTACTTAAAGTCAATTGATTGTAGTTGTGAATTACATATACCATATATTTCATAGCAAGGCCTAGACTGGTATTTGACCAAACAACTCAACACCATGGCCCAGCCAAGATGACACTTAAAATTCAACCATCATACAGAGTAACAATAATGTGAACATTTTGCCCAGCTATAGACATTGTCTCTCCTTTTGTGTTATCTAAATGGAATTTATCTACTTAAGTTATATATAGTCAGGACTATAACATTATACTGCTAGTAGTTCAGCTTGTATGATTCAGCATATTGTCTTAAATGTATAAACCTGTATATGGTTTGTGTTTTAATATTTCACCATGTAATTAAAATACAACTAAAGGACAGTGACCTTTAGCGTGTTGGTCACATGGTAACATATCAGATGCATTGTCTGCTCTGCTTACCCTTTATGATATCTCATTAGATTGACAGAAAGACTGGCAGTAGGACCCTTCAGAAGAGCAGGTATCTTCTGTCCTTTCCTGCATATTAATTCCCAGTGCTGACTAACTGAAAAACACAATATTTCTATTATCATCCTTTCTTAAGGGGGTCACTGAACTTTAAATCTTTAAGGATGTGTTGTGTTCTCTATAATCTTCCTGAGTAGTTGATTTTCTAGAAAGGCACAGTCGTTTGGACCACTTCTCTTTTGTGTATCACTTTTCTGTAGTCCAGATCGCTTCCTTCTCCTTAGACCTGTATATACATCTGTGTACTTGGCATCTGACATTTGGATATCTGTTAGTTATGTCACACTTAGGATGACAAAACTGAGTTCCTAGCTTTTCTCTAAAAGCAGTTTGTCTCCATCTCAGCCAAGGGGAGCTGCAGTCTTACAGATGCGCCAGCCATGAATGTTGCTCTTATCTTAAGCACTCTTCATACATCCAGCATTGAGCCCCTCAGCAAATCCTGTTGTCTCTGTCATAAAATGTATCCAGCATTTGACCACTTCTCACCATTACCTTTGATGTCACCTGATCCTAGGCGCCACCATGTCTCACTTACTGCATCAGCATTTTCAGTAGTTGTCCTGCTTCTGCCCTTGACCTTCTAAAATCCATTCTCAACACAACAGTATGATTGATTCTTATTTAAGTATCCTTTTGTTCATTGGCTCATAAACCTCCAGAGCTGTACTATGCAAGATGGTAACCACAAGTCATATGTGGCTATTCAAATTTGATTAATGAAAATTAAGTTTAATTTAAAATTCAGTGCCTTGGTTGCAGGAGACACACTCAAGTACTCAATAGCCACATGTGGCTGGTGTCACCATTAGACAGCACAAAACATTTTCTTCATGTCACAAAATCCTATCTGTACAATGCTGCTCCAAAAGCTTCCCATATCACGGAGACAAAACAAAATAAAACATACAGTGACCTACAAGGACAAAGAAGTGTGCTGTTTTTGACAGAATGGTCAGAGAATTCTACTCTGATGAGGAACCACTTGAGCAAAGGCCTATCTGTGCATTTCAAGCAGAGGGAACAACATGCAAAAGAAAGAGGTGCGTACGCTGTTCACAAAATAGTCAGAGAAGCCAGTTTGGCCGCAGCAGAGTGAGTGAGTGAGAGGTGGGTGCGAAGGTGCGTGATCTGGCCTTTGTGAATTCTTGAACCTCCGCTCCTATGACTTGCCCTGGTTCTTGTTCCAGGCGTTGTGGCTCCCTGGCTATGCTTCAAGCCTGCTGGCATGGCTTACATGGAATGCTTTCTCCAAAAAAATCCATGTGGCTAGCGAGCTCTCCCACTTTCTTCAGGCTTCAATTCACATGGACTTTCTCAAAAAAGCTTTCTGTAGCCACTTTGTCTAAAACTCTACTTCTTTCCCCAAACATTTTACATTGCATTTTGCTGCTTTATTTTCAGCATTTATTACTATCTACTGTATAGTATATTTTATTTATTTAGAAGTTTTGTTTTTTGTTTCCCATCAAAATACAAACTCCATAATAGAAGGGATTTTGATCTCTTTTTGTCCACAGTGCATCTCTAATACGTAGAATAATGTCTGATGCATAGTAGGTGCTAAATAAGTGTTTTTGAATAAATTAAATGAATACCCGGCGTATACCTTTTTTTACAGTGATGATACTTATGATAGAATAGAAAAATGAAGTCTATTCTTAGGGACAGTTTTATATTTTAAATGAAATAATGTTATTAAATGAAAAAAAGTACTTATCCCTGCATGCAGACAAAGCTCAAGCTCATCTGGAAAGACGATGAGCAGCTCCTACTTCCTTGGATTATTTAAATGGTAAAATGAAATATTATATGCAAAATGCTTAACACAATATCTGACACAGAGTAGATGTCTCACATTTGTTAGTCTCTTTTTCTGTTAGCTCTTTGCAAAGAGCCTTTTTTTTTAGACTTTATATTATATATTTAGAGCAGTTTTAGGTTTGTAACTAAATTGAGGGGAAGGAAAAAGATTTGTCTTATATCCCCTCCCCACACCCATGCATAGCCTCCCTGATTATCAGTGTCACTCACCAGAATGGTACCATTTCTTGCTAAGAATTAAGCTGCACTGACACATGATGATCACCCAAAGCCCATAGTCTACTTAGGGTTCAGTGTTGGTTTTGTATATCCTGTCAGCTTGGACAAATGTATAATGACATATGTCCATCATTATAATACCATGCAGAGTATTTTCGTTGCCCTAAAGATCCTCTGTGCTCTGCGTATTCATCAGTCCCCTCACCTTCACTCCGGCAACTAACCACTGATCTTTATTGATTCCATGGTGTGCCTTTTCCAGAATGTCATCTAGTGGATGGAATCATATAGTCTATATTTTTTTCAGAGTGACTTTTTTCACTAAGTATAAGTAATACACAATTAAGGTTCCTCCATAATTTTTCATGCTTGGTAGCTTCTTTTGTTTTAGCAGTGAGTAGTTTTCCGTTGCCTGGATGGACCACAGTTTATTTATCCATTCACCTGCTGAAGGACATCCTGGTTGTTTCCAGGTTATGGTATTTATGAATAAAGCTGCTGTAAACATCCATGTGAAGGTTTTTGTGTGGACATAGTTTTTAACTCGTTTGGGGAGTATGTAACTCCTAGGAGTTTGACTGCTGGATTTTTATGGGAAGAGTATGTTTAGTTTTCTAAGAAACTGCCAGACTGCCTTCCAAAGTTGCTGTGCCGTTTTGTGTTCCTACCAGCAATGAATGCGAGTTCCTGTTGCTCCACATCCTCACCAGCATTTGGCGTAGTCGGTGTTCTGGATTTTGGTCATTCTGATAGCTCTGTTGTACTAGCTCACTGTTGTTGTAAGTTACATTTCCCTGATGACATA